GCCCACCTTCAGGACCAGGCGGAGGTCCTCCATCTGGACCCGGCATTACTCCACCAGGTGGTCCAGGCATGCGTCCACCTTCAGGACCCGGCGGAGGTCCTCCGTCTGAGCCCGGTATTACGCCACCAGGTGGTCCAGGCATACGTCCACCTTCAAGACCCGGCGGGGGTCCTCCGTCTGGACCCGGTATTACGCCACCAGGTGGTCCAGGCATACGCCCACCTTCTGGACCCGGCGGAGGTCCTCCATCTGGACCCGGTATTACTCCACCAGGTGGTCCAGGCATACGTCCACCTTCAGGACCCGGCGGAGGTCCTCCGTCTGAGCCCGGTATTACGCCACCAGGTGGTCCAGGCATACGTCCACCTTCAAGACCCGGCGGGGGTCCTCCGTCTGGGCCCGGTATTACGCCACCAGGTGGTCCAGGCATACGCCCACCTTCAGGACCAGGCGGAGGTCCTCCATCTGGACCCGGTATTACTCCACCAGGTGGTCCAGGCATAAGGCCACCTTCAGGACCCGGCGGGGGTCCTCCATCTGGACCCGGCATTACTCCACCAGGTGGTCCAGGCATACGCCCACCTTTAGGACCTGGGGGACGTCCTCCACCTGGACCCGGTATTCGCCCACCAGGTGGTCCAGGCATAAGGCCACCTTCAGGACCCGGCGGAGGTCCTCCATCTGGGCCCGGTATTACGCCACCAGGTGGTCCAGGCATACGTCCACCTTCAGGACCCGGCGGAGGTCCTCCGTCTGAGCCCGGTATTACGCCACCAGGTGGTCCAGGCATACGTCCACCTTCAAGACCCGGCGGGGGTCCTCCGTCTGGGCCCGGTATTACGCCACCAGGTGGTCCAGGCATACGCCCACCTTCAGGACCAGGCGGAGGTCCTCCATCTGGACCCGGTATTCGCCCACCAGGTGGTCCAGGCATAAGGCCACCTTCAGGACCAGGGCCAGCTCCTCCATCTGGACCCGGCATTACTCCACCAGGTGGTCCAGGCATACGCCCACCTTTCGGACCCGGCGGGGGTCCTCCACCTGGACCCGGTATTCGCCCACCAGGTGGTCCAGGCATAGGTCCACCTTCAGGACCAGGCGGAGGTCCTCCATCTGGACCCGGCATTACTCCACCAGGTGGTCCTGGCATACGCCCACCTTTAGGACCCGGCGGGGGCCCTCCATCTGGACCCGGCATTACTCCACCAGGTGGTCCAGCCATACGCCCACCTTTAGGACCTGGGGGACGTCCTCCACCTGGACCCGGTATTACTCCACCAGGTGGTCCAGGCATACGTCCACCTTCAGGACCCGGCGGAGGTCCTCCATCTGGGCCCGGTATTACGCCACCAGGTGGTCCAGGCATGCGTCCACCTTTCGGACCCGGCGGGGGTCCTCCACCTGGACCCGGTATTCGCCCACCAGGTGGTCCAGGCATAAGGCCACCTGTCGGACCCGGCGGAGGTCCTCCATCTGGGCCCGGTATTACGCCACCAGGTGGTCCAGGCATACGTCCGCCTTTCGGACCCGGCGGGGGTCCTCCATCTGGACCCGGTATTCGCCCACCAGGTGGTCCAGGCATACGTCCACCTGTCGGACCCGGCGTAGGTCCTCCATCTGGCCCCGGCATTACGCCACCAGGTGGTCCAAGCATACGCCCACCTTCAGGACCAGGCGGGGGTCCTCCGTCTGGGCCCGGTATTACGCCACCAGGTGGTCCAGGCATACGTCCACCTTTCGGACCCGGCGGGGGTCCTCCACCTGGACCCGGTATTCGCCCACCAGGTGGTCCAGGCATACGCCCACCTTCAGGACCCGGCGGGGGTCCTCCACCTGGACCCGGTATTCGCCCACCAGGTGGTCCAGGCATAAGGCCACCTTCAGGACCCGGCGGGGGTCCTCCATCTGGACCCGGCATTACTCCACCAGGTGGTCCAGGCATACGCCCACCTTTAGGACCAGGCGGAGGTCCTCCATCTGGACCCGGTATTACGCCACCCGGTGGTCCAGGCATAAGGCCACCTTTAGGACCCGGCGGGGGTCCTCCATCTGGACCCGGCATTACTCCACCAGGTGGTCCAGGCATACGCCCACCTTCTGGACCCGGCGGAGGTCCTCCATCTGAACCCGGCATTACTCCACCAGGTGGTCCAGGCATACGTCCACCTTCAGGACCAGGCGGAGGTCCTCCGTCTGGGCCCGGTATTACGCCACCAGGTGGTCCAGGCATACGCCCACCTTTCGGACCCGGCGGGGGTCCTCCATTTGGACCCGGTATTCGCCCACCAGGTGGTCCAGGCATAAGGCCACCTGTCGGACCCGGCGGGGGTCCTCCATCTGGACCCGGCATTACTCCACCAGGTGGTCCAGGCATACGCCCACCTTCCGGACCCGGCGGGGGTCCTCCATCTGGACCCGGCATTACTCCACCAGGTGGTCCAGCCATACGCCCACCTTTCGGACCCGGCGGAGGTCCTCCATCTGGACCCGGCATTACTCCACCAGGTGGTCCAGGCATACGCCCACCTTCAGGACCAGGCGGAGGTCCTCCATCTGGACCCGGCATTACTCCACCAGGTGGTCCAGGCATACG